AATGCATTATAGAAAATGATATAATTTTAAATTTTTTCTTGGAAGGCTTAGAAGCCATTGTAGGAGATTCTAATGTAATAAAATGTAACACGCAGACCGTACTGCTTCACTGGACTTTAAAGTACACATTAAGAGTATTCGTTATAAAAATATTTGTTTCTTTTTAAATGAGATAATTATATGCGTCCAGTCACTTTAAGATGTTGAAACTCTCATAGCACACAGATATTGCATACCTCCCCGAGAAGCCTGTAACCATTCTGAGATTCGATAATGCAATTTTGGTAAGATTGTCAGTTTTCGTAAATAATTTCTGGGTTCTATCCTCTATGTATTTTTGATCGGATCAATCTTGAGGTCTCTGAGGGTGCATTCGTTCTAATGTACCAAGGTACAACAATTAAATATATCCTTTTTAGTAATAAGTTAGGTTCTCTTTACGGATTTCGTTCCAAACATAAATATTGGTTTTTAAAAATGAATATAGTGCTTCAAATACTCCAAATCACAATTTGCTTACTGGGTGAGTTTTGCTATATTACCATTAATGCATACTGCCAAAATATTTTGACAACTTCGTTTGTAGTTTGTGATATAAATTCGATTAGCAACTAATTTCACCATATGGATACACAAATAAACACAGCTACATATGAAAGTAGGACCTCACGCTATGTACACAGTTTAAGTCTTCATGTGCAATAACACATTCGGCTGTGATCCGACAAATCTGCCTACGATAATATTTTGTTTGCACGCCACCAGATACGTAACCTTTCGATTGCAGGTTGGAATGCAGGAAAGGATGCACATATGCCATCCTGCCTACAACAAGTCTGATAGTTGTGTACTGTGTTGATTTTTTAATTAGCTGCCAAAAGTCCTTTATCGTTGTTTACGCAGACAAAACAAAAGTTTTCATTTCGTGCCAGAGTAATTGTTATTGTGCTCTTATTAATTAGTGCGAAATTCCTGTGATACTATTTTTGTGATGTAAAATTGCACATGGCACGGCACCTAATTAAGAGATGGGATTTTCACTGCATACAAACTGTTATCATGAGTAACACAATTGACAGATATCAAACATACGCCCACCCGATGATTTATCGCCAGTTCGCAACGGAAAATTAACATAATTTTTGCATTACATATAAATTACAAATGTTTTAATTCGGTTAAAATCAAAAAATTTTAATGCATAATGAGATACCGAGCAAATGATATGTATTGTCAAATTTTTTAATTACATCAACATATGCACACATACTTTACATGCAAATGGGAAGTACGCTTTTCGCTAAAATTCGATAGTCCACATTATTGCACACAGAATTTATTAAATTAACCAAAATTTGGTTTTCGATATAATGTGCTCAATATTAAATTTTGCTTATCTCATTTTGTAATTCAACAATATCAAAGTACATAAACGCAGTATTAGCCATTCAATTAAAGTCAAATTGATGACATTATTTTAATTTATAACTAAAAACTTCAACAAAAACATTTCAAAAGTAAATAAAAATTAAGCTCACATTGGTCAAATAAATCATTTAAAACTTTTTCAATCAAACGGATATACAATTTTCCATAACATTTATAAGATGAAATTTTATATCAAGATACATGAAATTATACGAAATCCAACAAATAAAGCCATATTCCGTTAATGGTTAATTCATATTTACCGTGATATCACTACCGGTCATTTGGTTTATAAAATCGCTACTTCAATCCAACCTAACCAATATTTAACAAAAACAAAGTTTATTAGTTTCCTCCAATATTCCATCAATAGTTAATCCATATTTACCGTGATATCACTACCAGTTATTATTTGTACTCAAGAGGCCTTTAGTTTATAAAACCGCTACTTCAATCCAACCTAACCCATATTTAACAAAAACAAAGTTTATTAGTTTCCACCAATATTCCATCAATAGTTAATCCATATTCACCGAGGTATCACTACCGGCCATTATTTGTACTAAAGTGGGCTTATAAAGCCGCTACTTCAATTCAACCTAACCAATATTTAACAAAAACAAAGTTTATTAGTTTCCACCAATATTCCATCAATAGTTAATCCATATTTACCGTGGTATTACTACCGGTCATTATTTGTACTAAAGTGGGCTTTGGTTTATAAAACCGCTACTTCAATCCAACCTAACCCATATTTAACAAAAACAAAGTTTATTAGTTCCCATATATGCCATTAACAAACATAAATTTTTATTTTGAAATTTTTTAATTTGTTTTTAGGTTAAGAAGCTTTACAAATATTCAATTATATAGACACATATTTATATTAAACACTTACTACCATCGAGTGGATCAAATGCCTTAGTATTAACTACAAGCCTGATTTTACAGTATGCCAGGTAAATTATCAACACACACCTGCAGTTAACAACAAGTTTTTGATTTCCTCCTGAACGTTTTTTTTAAAGTGTGCTGTTTCTATAAGAAATCATTTTGCATCTCCACGATACCCGATCTTTTGACAGTTTTATGCCGTTGTAAAAGCGGTATACATAACCTTCTTAATCTTGAGGCTAAATTATGCCTAAAAACACATTTGTGCTATATTAAAATATTTGAGTTTATTCTTCAACACAGTGTCCTTCAAGAGCAATACATTGTTCTACAGATACTCTAATGATTCCATCTTTCTATTACACAAAGACTTAGCATAGGCCTTAAAATAGACGTTTGTTTCAGCGATGAATTAATATTCAGACTTATACATCTTACTTTTCTGCGCAAAAGACAAGTCACTGAGGGTCAAATTTGGCGATCGCTGGATTTGGAACAATACCAAAGGTTGTGCCTGTGATTTCACCATTGCAACAGTGCAATGTTTTGATGTAATATCACTTTCTTTTCATTTTATGTGATCTCAACCCTCAAACGCACCAATAATTCTATTAAAGTAATTTGCGCTATAAATTACTTTTTCTTTTTCAAAGTAGTCAATGATGTTACACCAAAATATGGATGCCATAACGTTACGGCTGTGATAAACTGGGTGGTCTGCTCAGTGGTTGCTGTTCACTGACTGAAACAGCTGATTGTCGTTTTTAGAAAAATAAACAATGCAAATGCAAAAACTATGTACACAAAAATATTCTATAGTAAGTTCATTTTAAATGGAATTTGCTTCAGGATTGAGTTTCTGTTTTCGCTTGGTGTATAGTCAATAAGAAAAAATGATCACTATAACCGCATAATTATTAATTTTATTTGACTTAAAACTGAAGATATAGATAAGGAAGATATGTCATTTCAACAGAATTATGCTACAAGCCACATGGTTATGGTTAGGATGGACGATGTGGACGATGCTGGAATATTACTGTATTTCACGCCTAATGGACAAATTACATACTAAAATAAAGATTGCGTCTAAGTCTAAAAATGTTTTTTGTAACATTATCAGCACTACAAAATAGATAGTTCATGATAGATGTTTGCCATCATTTATGTTCTTTTTAAATAGCACTTTATGCACAAATATCATTTTGCCTCTGCCATGTTAAATGAGTTGAACGAATACCTTAATTATTGCTTAAAGACTCAATCATTTTTAAATCGACTAATATAATTCTGTGCTTCCATTCTTAAGATAATACAATATATACTGGATGCTAAGATAAGAGGCGAATATAGCTAATATTAAAACTGCTGTAAGTACTCGTAATTAATGATGAAGCCTGCTTAAAGTAGCATAATTCTTAGATATTGTAAATTTAACTTGAACTTAATAAAATTTCAATTTCTATCTAAATAAAAATGTTTTATTTTGAAACATTAAAACAATAGAAAGTCTATTTCATTACAATGCGTAACCATTTTAATTTACACGCCCCAATTGCTTTGACAGCATGATTGATTGCGAAGAGTATGTGTAAGCTCTTTGGTCCATGAATTTAGAAGTGCTTTTGTTTTTATAAAAATAGCTCCAGTACCCTGAATTCATACTGAGAATATAATATTTTTAAGGTACTCTCGTATATTTAATTCAGCACTTGGAAAAACATATACGCACATGTATGTTATATTCATGTCATTTTGAAAAGCACTTTACTCCAAATTAAAAAAAGATTATTTTAATGTGTTATTTATTGAATTTTAAATTTGAGCTTTTTTAGGAACCTAAAAAATTTAAATTAAAATGCAGTCAATTTAACGGAAACAATGGCTTTTGGCCAAATGAAATCGAAATAAATAATAGCTCTTGTCTATTATTTCCATCAATTGCAGCTAAACTCAAAAGATATTTTGAATGCAAAAATTTTAAATGAAACGAAACAAATTTGAGATTTATTTAAAAATCACTTTTATTTTTATTAAAATTTTTTATTTTAGAAAACCATTTAAGTATAAAGCACTTAATACATAACAATTTTTTGAACTTCATTCCTAACTCAAACTTTCATGCTTCAATATATTATATATTTGATATTCAGTTGTACCGATAAAACTCAAAGTTTTTTAATTAATATCAAAAATAGTTTTTTATATCAAAAACGATTTTATTAATTTAAATATTGTTCATTTTTTCAAACACTTTCTAATATTCTCCAATTAGCAATATTATTCCAATAGGGTTTATTTTTTTTTTAAAAACCTTCTAGTTTTTTCCACTTTTACAAATTCCGTTCTCGAATTTTGTCCCTCAAACCCTCCATAGTTCTTTTTCAGCTCAGTTATGCGCCAACCAATCCGTAATTTTACTCTACAATTTCAGAACTATGCAACTAATAAAGCAAAATCTTTGGACTCAAATCTGGCCGAGCTACAAAAGATAATAATCGAGTTTATTCTTATTAAGTTATTATGTTTACTAATTTGCTCTTAATGGATATTCAAACCTAATGTTTGGTTCAAGTCAACCTTTGTGGATTGTACTTTTATAATCGCAGCAGGCATATACAATAGTTTAATTTTATTTAGTTTTTTACTTATCATATATATATATACATATATTTGTGATATGTGAAAATTCTATTCAACAAGTTTTTTATCTAAATTTGGGACACGAAAACGAGATGGAAAATGTATTAGTAGTGTGAGGAAAAAGAATATGTTCTTATATATTTTCACGAATTGAAAACTTGTTCCAGTCATACCTACAGGTAATTAACTTACAATAAATTATTGAAAATATTTTTTCTGATCTTCTGAAAAATTGTTCAAACAATTACCTAATAAGACAATATGTATAGTTCATAAATATCATACGCAATAGCATTTTGTTGCTCTGATATTAAACAAGACAACAGAACGAGTCACATTGTTTACACCAATAACTATCTTTTATCTAGTACTTAAATAACTTCTAATATCAAAAGTGATTTGGCGCCACATTATTAGTCGATTTTCATTGCATTCATATCGTATTTCGAGAGCCACTACAAGATAACTCAACCGCTTTCTCGCAGTTCATTAAGATAATTGTATAGCATTCTTATGAAAATTCGGACAAAATTTAACGGCCGCTATTTATCTCTTTCTCCTTTAGACGTTTGAGAACATATAGTTGGACATTGACACAACTTTTGAAAGGAACGTACTAATATGTCAGAACCGTAGTTAGATCTAATAAAATTTCACAATTTTGATTTAAGTTTTCTTCCCAATATTCTTGATTAGGTGTTGGCAACTCTGTAAAAAGTATGGCACATGACAAACAATATTAATCTTGAATTTGTTTACAAAATATAATTTTTTTTTTGGAATATTATTGAATATCTTAAGAAATCTGTGTCTTATCAAATGCTGTATCTAGTTTACTCAAGAAGTATTGCATAAATCCTTTTATCTTACCAATGTTATTGTGGTGAGTTGAAACAACAAATGCCTCTTTTAAATTTAAATAACTAGTATGTCATAATTCCTCTTTATAAAGTTCTATGCATTAATATTGAAACTTTTCTCAAACTTTTTGCTATCAATGCATAATTTCTGCACACTGGAACTTAATATCTATTTTAAAAATAGAGAGATCAGTTGAGAAGCTTGGGGTCAGTTGGCTAATGAACACGAATTTTGGCAGGGTACGAGTTCAAACCTTGGTACTTGCAGTCTCATAAAAAAATTGTTTATGAATAATTAAATATAAGAAATAATTTTAAGACCACTGATGATGGGTATTTGGCCAAAAATAATTAAAAAAAAAATTTTTGTGTTGTAGTTCACTACTTTTCAGAACCTCTCTATTGAATACATTAGTTTGTATAAAGAAAAAAAAACACTATGGTCATATTGATGTTAAAATCTATTTTAATATACTTAAAGTAGCTTAATAATCTCATGTCATTGACTTAATGCAATATAATACTATAGACATTCCTTAGTGTTTATATACTTTCGAAGGTCCTAAAGTAATGATTACTGATATAATACATTGATGAGAAATTTTAATTCTAAACTCAAAAATTATTATGCTTTAAAAATTATGTTTCATAAATGCATGGAATATATCAATTAGCTTATACCAACAGTCTTTTATGAAAGCATCATTTTCATCCAAAAATTTGAGATTCAAATTGTATGAAATTTTGGCCATTATCCATTAACAAAAATCCTTAATGGCAGGCATCATTTAAGCAATGGTGGCTTTTGGAACAGCTCGAATGTGTGCGCATAAATTGCAAAATAGCTCCTATGTGCACACATTTGACTTGACATATTACTCAATGCGTGCATTCAACCGAAAGAAAAACTCGCTCGCTACTGAACAATAGATAAGTCCGCCGCCACATTACGGCACAGCAATCGATCCACACATCCGCTGATAGTCGCTTTTCGAGCAGGCATTTTGGAGCGCACATGATAATGAACAAAATAACTTGAACCATTTTAATTATGCAGACAACGCATGATGGATGCGAGCATATCTATGCGATTGCTTGTACATGTCCTTTCTTATTGATGACATTTATTCAGTCGTGCGTAACTTCTGATGCAAAGTGCATATTCTGCGTGCAGATAATGCACTCTTTTTCCTAATAAACCTTATGCACAGATACGTTATTGCCCTTAGCAAAATGTGTTTCAATGGTGGAAAAATTAGTTCGTCGGACATTGGCGGCCATTGGCGGCATTGGCTGCCAGGCACACTGAAATGTCAAGTTTTGTTTTTGACATTCTAAAAGATACATTAAGACTGAAAAGTTTTCGGAAATTCTCATTTAAAATTCGCGCGCTGTATATTTTTCGATATTTTAAGTTTATGTAGTTTGGCAGCACTGTCCTTAATTACTATGCCAAAAATGAGCGCGATCTGTCAGACAGTTCGTTTACGGCAGCTGTTGAAACCAGTTCCCCTCAGTAGTGCGTTGCGAAATGTCTTCGACGGTCGTACGACCGTCCTGAAAGGCTTTGTACCACTCATAAACTTGAGTTTTCGATAAAACTGATTCCCCATAAGCCTTTTGTAGCATTCGCAACGATTCTGCACACGAAATTTCGTTCGAAACACAAAATTTGATGCAAACTCTTTGTCCAATATTTTTTTCCATTGTTTTTTTCGCAACGCACTACTGAGGTGAACTGGTTTCAACAGCTGCCGTAAACGAACTGTCTGACAGATCGCGCTCATTTTGGCATATTAATTGTCCTTAATTGCTGCCAAACTACATAAACTTAAAATATCGAAAAATATACAGCGCGCGAATTTTAAATGAGAATTTCCGAAAACTTTTCGGTCTTAATGTACTAATTAAAATTGTGAAAAAAATTCATTTGACTCTTATTAAACAGTGAATTTTAAATTTTTCGTCTACAGAATTTGACATAAAAAATGAAAAAATATTTTAAAAGTTTATTAGCCTTAAGCCGATGTCAGCAACAGTTGCTGTTAATGACTTATTCTGTTGCAGCTGAACAAAATTTCAGTCCGTCATGTTTAGGTACGTGAAGTAAAATTCAAGCCTTTTCTTCTCTCTTCAGTTTGCTAAATGTAATCACGTGTTTAATTTTGTTGAAATGTTCAACTTTGCTTTTGTAAATAAAATTTGTTTTTGATATTTGAGTTTAAATTTAATAATTACATTTAAATATTTAAAAATTAAAGCTTAAAAGAAAAAATTAAAACGAACGCCAAGCGCTTTTATATTGAATTCATATCCAACATTCCATTACCTTTGCCAAGAACAATAACTGATAATAATTTTAAAAAAATTTTATATTTATATATATATATCTATGTATAACAATAGTGCATTTCCTGCAAGCAGTAATCAAATTTGAATAATTTTATATAAATAGGTATCTCTCATTCTCTCATTACATCCCAATGTAATGAATGTATGCCCAGCGGAAAAAAAGTAGTTCCATATAGCTCATTTCATTTCATTTCATTTTTTTAAATACTATATATAATAAATTTTAAAGTAGTATTTTATTTTTTAATTATTAATTGTTATTACAACCAATTTTATCAATAATTTTTTGAAAATGTTTTTTGAAAAGTAATATTATTTTAATTATTTGAATTTTTGGCTGACCATACAGCTATTTCGAGTATTGCCAAATACCTCTCATCTGGTATTTGCAGTCTCAAAAAAGTTATTTACGAATAATTAAATACAAGAACTATTTTCAAGACCACTTGACAATACTTGACAATACTGGAAACAGCTGTGTGGTCAACCAAAAATTCAAATAATTAAAATAATATAAAAGAATTTTTGTTGTTGTAGTTCACTACTTTTCGAAAAACCACTTTATGAAATATACTAGTTTCTATTAAATATAATAGTCATTTCCGTCTTAAATAATGGCGTTAAATCACAACTTATAATTAATAATTTTTTATTTTACTGTTAATTCTCAACCAAAATATCTAAATTTAAAAAAAAAATTATTAAAAAAAATTTTGTCACTTCCAGGTTAATGTTTCTCGTTAGGTTCATTCATTTATGTATTAAATGGAGAAATGGACTTGCCATTTCTATAAAGACCTAAGGATTTTATCTTCTTTTCCAATAAGCATCAAACATATTTCGATTAGAAAAATAAAATAACAATTAATTAGACTAATTGTATAAAATTACATTTTTCAGAAAGCAGATATATCGATCTGCAAAATTAGCAATGTAAAATAGAATTAAAAATAAACGTGCTCCTAGTGGAACGCAAAACAGCGCCGATTGTTAATCTTTTAGGTTACTTCCGAGCCTAATTGAACGGAAAATACTTTGCATTTGAATGACAGCCCTAATATCAGTTGTTGAGGGTATCCTAACCTCGAGCATGGATTGAAACTCTCACTCTCGACCTAACAGTCTTCTCCTGGAGAACAAATATGAAAATAATAACACTTTTTTACCAAAACTATCAGGGCATTGCATTAAATACTAAAGATTAAATAAATGATCAAATAACATGTATAAATTTAAGATTGTCACCCCATCTATTATTGAATGTATAAATAATATCGACAACTATGCTTCCCCCAGAAAATAAAATACGAAATTTCATTGTTAATATTGTCAATGCAATTTTGCAATTGTGGTTTTCACATAAAGCGCTTTTTTATCTCTAGTATTATAAAATAAGAAAATATTAATATATTTAATATTATTGCATTAACAAAGAGATTTAATGTTAATATAAACCTTGCAATACACTGTTTAGAAATTATGTACAATATATGATATCAGTTGACCACTTCACCGCTATCTTTTGGAAAAGTGGTAAATACGTGATAAGACGAATTAACGATTAACTATAGTTTGTGTATAAAATTTCTTTTAAATTTCAGTTTCTTTTGGCTCCCTCAGCAGTCGAGCACGTAACACATAACTCGAAAGTAATATCGTTTTATAGCTAAAAACGCAATATGGGACGTTTGGGAACAGTCGATCCAAATTCATATGCTGAGCCCGATCGCGTAACAACTGTGCACAGCTCGTTAAAATGGATAGTCGACTTTGATAACACTAAATTGCATGGGTCAGTAACTCATCGTTTTAATTTATTAGAAAGTGATTTACCAGCAATTGTAAGTAAATCATTAATGAATCAATCCCTTTAATTCACAAAAAAATCGTCATTTGCAGATTTTGGACGTGCGGGATATTACGATAAAAGATGTAGTAATTTTGTCTAATAACAACTCTACTCCAGTCAATTATTTCATAACCGATTCAGTAGTAGATATTGGCTCTAAATTAACACTTGAGTTACCAGAGGGAACAGTAAAGGGCGAGTAAGTAATACAACATAAACATAAATGATTGTTGAGTTTTGTTTTTCGTGCTTATCTTTGACGTACTTGAACAAATCCAAGAAATTTATAATTCAACGCTACTTAGTTTTGATTGAATATCTGATTTTAACAGGTTACTTGTACAAATTAACTACGAGACTGCAAATACCGCCAGCGGCTTGTTGTGGCTGACTCCAGAACAAACACTTGGAAAAAAACACCCATATATGTTTAGCCAATGTCAACCAATTCATGCACGCTCTCTTTTACCTTGTCAAGACACACCAGCTGTTAAGTTTACATATGACTCTTCAATTGAACATCCTAAAGAGTTAACAACTCTTATGAGTGCTTTAGTTTTGGGTAGAAATGAAGGCATTTCCTCATTCGAGCAACCAATACCTATTCCAGCTTATCTCTTAGCAATAGCAATTGGAAAGTTAGTAACTCGACCTCTAGGACCCAACTCGAATATTTGGGGTGAAGAAGATATTATTGAGGAAGCTGCTCAGGAATTTTCAGAAACTCTGAACATGTTAAAAGTAGCTACAGATATTTGTGGTCCATATGTATGGACACAGTATGATCTTTTAGTGATGCCACCATCTTTTCCATATGGAGGTATGGAAAATCCTTGTTTAACTTTTGTCACACCTACAGTCATTGCGGGTGATAAGTCGCTTGCTGACGTGATCGCACATGAACTAGCACATAGTTGGACTGGAAATTTAGTTACAAATAGAAATTTCGAGCATTTCTGGCTTAATGAAGGATTTACTGTATTTATTGAAACAAAAATTGTGGGTCGCATGCGAGGAACAAAAGAAAAGGATTTCCATATGATACGTATTTTAACTGAATTAAGAGAATGTGTAAGTGAAGAAAAATAAAATAACTAGTATATGTAATGCAAGATAAAACATATATTAATAATGTATATTTAACAGATTCGAACACAGTTGGCAAATAAGCCTGAATTAACTAAACTGGTTGTGGACTTATCCAATTGCGGACCAGATGATGTATTTTCAGTCGTTCCTTATGTCAAAGGGTCTATATTTTTACTTTATATAGAAGATTTGGTCGGAGGCCCTGAAGTATTTGAGCCATTCTTACTTTTTTATTTACAAAAATATGCGTACAAATCGGTTGTATCAGATGATTTCAAATCAACCTTAGAGGAGTACTTTTCCAAAACAGATAAACAGAACAATCTAAAGAAAATTGATTGGAATTTATGGTTGAATCAAGAGGGTATGCCGCCCATAATCCCTAAGTATTAATTTTAAAGCAATCAGTGTTTATATTTTAATAACTAATTTTTTCGTTTTTTTTAGATTTGATGAGACTCTAGCAAACATTTCAAAAGAGCTAGCCTTACTGTGGAGTTCGAAGAAATTAATAGAGTTGGAGAACAATGAAACCGTTAAGGAAAATATATCATCACATCAGCTTATCGACTTTCTAGGTAGACTCATTGAATATGAAGATATTGTAGATCTAAATGAAGAAAAAATTGATTTTCTTGAGTACACATACAATTTAAAAAATAGTAAAAATTCAGAAGTAAAATTCCGTTTTATTCGCCTTTGTATTAGAGCCAAATTAATGAATCGCATGGATGATATTATTGCATTTGCCAATTCAAATTTCCGTATGAAATTTTGTCGGCCAATTTACTCCGATTTAGTAAATTGGCCGGAAGCTAAACAAATAGCCTTAATGAATTTTGACAGCGTTAAAAATCAAATGATGACATTATGTTCCCAAACAATATCTAAAGACCTTGATTTATTAGTTAAGTAAAATGTATGGGTTGGTCTATTCTTACATGACTTTATTAATTAGTTATTACTTGATATATCTTGTTTTACTACTTATAAATAAATTTTAATTAAATTGTAATTGATTAATATATAATAAAAACAAGACGTGAACTTACCTACTTGTGTTCTACACTTTATTGAATTATTACAACTTATAAAACTTACAAATTCGGTGAGGGTCTTGATCATATTTCTGATCAATGTATATGCCTGCATTAACAGTATAATGCAATGGTGTAATATCATACCTGGAAAACAATGTTTTTAAACGCGGATTACACGTTGATTATTAAGGGGGAATTTAAAATTTGTCATAAATAGTACTATTAAGATTAAAATAATGGCAACCAGAGAGTTTAACCCTTTATGAACTTTGCCACCTAATTTATAGTAGTAGTCATCTTTAAAAAACATTGCTTGGTCGCTTGTAGGAAAAGTGAATTATGCAGTAATCAGTTGTAAATTTCTTAACTTGAATTACTTCAGAGTGTTTGCCCATAGTTCAATGGCGATTTGAAAGTCTTAATTGCAGGAATATTATCCATCCAACCACAATATAGAAGTCCAAAACTTCCAAAAATTTTTTTAAAACACTCGGTACTAAATTTCTAGTTGTAGGTGATTTTAATGCCAAGCACAGATATTGGGGTTCAAGACTAATAACACCAAGAGGGCGGAAACTTCTAGCAGTTGTAAAAAGTGAAGATCTCGATGTCATTTCAACTGAACAGCCAACTTACTGGCCTTCTGATCGACAAAAAGTCCCTGATCTTATTGACTTTAGCCTAAGCAAAAATATTAAACTATCAATAATCACCGCATTTCCATCAGTTGAACTGTCATCAGACCACTCACCAACAATAATAACAGTACAATGTTAACAGAATAGAACTATCCAAACGCAAAGTGTAACGAAATATATAAACTGGTTAAAATTTCGTAAATATGTTTCTTGCCATATGTATACCACAATATGCCTCGTTAAAAGAGAATAATGAAATTGATGCTAGTGTTAACCAATTTTCTGAAGTAATCTCAACGGGTGCTGAAGTCGCTTCGATAAGAACTGAAAAAACAACCCAAAAAATTGGTGTGACAAAAACAAGAAAGGCATTATTACAACGGAAGAGGAAAGCTAGAAGACTATGGCAAGGACATAGATCCCCAAAACATAAATTTCTACTTGCTACATGTACTAATGAACTCAAATATTCACTAGCGGAAAGACATTAAAAATCCCTAGACCATTTTCTATACAATTTGGCACCTAATGAACAAAGTGACTATTCACTTCGGAAGGCAACAAAGTACCTCAAACAGCCTAACCAGGTTAAATCTCCTCTCAGACTAGAAAACGGTGATTAGGCACGAAGTGACTCTGAGAAAGGGGACATATTTGTAAAACACTTGAGAAATGAATTTACTCAAAATGATGCTTCAAATTACAGCTCTTATATTAATAACAAACCTACATCCCTCGAGCAGTCCACCTATCTTTAAACTAGAAAATATCACTAAAATTATAAAAGATCTCAATGCAAAAAAGACAGCAGGACATGATGGTAAAATAGTTACCACAAATGTGCCATTTTACATCTCAGGCATTTATTTAACGCTGTCTTACGGACAGGCTATTATTCCAAACTTTGAAAAACATCACAAATAACAATGATACCTAAAGCTGGGAAGGACAAAACCAAAGTAGAGTCTTACAGACCAATTAGCGTCCTTCCAGTATTATCAAAAATATTTGAAAAGCTGCTAATAGCAAAACTAATGCCAATACTCTCAGCAACGTATCCACTTGTACAGTTTAAAAATCTTAGCTAGAATTAGGTAATTAAAGTTCCAATTTTTGGATAACCATTTTATTGACCATATCTAGTTCTTTTTACCTTTTAGCTCTTTTCACTTTATTTCCTAAACTTTAAGAAAATGTTGCTAAGATGCGGTCTACACATTTTAGAACCATTTAAATAAGTCTACTTAAGTGGCGGGTATTGTACTATAAAATATAATCGACAATAAATAATAGTAAATAAATCTTTTCAAATCCGTCAAATCCGAACTTATTGTATAGGCTATATTATATAGGTCATGTGTATAAGTGTGTAAGGAACCTAGGCAGATTTCCAAAATCTGCAAAATGATATGAAAACTAGTTGCTTGAATACTTTTTACTTAAGTTGGATATAATAAGTTTGATATGAACTCAAGGAATTTGTATTAAAAAAAAAAAATGAAAACAGCAACAATAAATTATTAAAAAATGAATTTTGCAAATTGCCACAATAATTTTCTTGCCAAGTTTTCTTGGCAATAACTTTGTATAATAATCTACTTCATATGTATGAATTCCACCTTCCCGAGCTGGGAATTTCTGCAACGGATTCACTCTTACAGAAGTTAAAAGTCTTTTAAAAGTAGTTGGTAAAGACAAAACATACAATTTTAACTTCAACAACCGAGTGAATTCAACTGTTCGAAACACAAATTTGGTTAAACGTTAAACAAAAAAAAAAATAAGAAAAAAAGTAATATAGTTAAGATATCCTTTAAATATATATATTTTTGTCTTGTTCATAGATGGTATATGTGTAATATAAATTAAAATACAATTAGATTTGTTTACCTTGTTTATTACTTTATAAGTTTCTCCTAAATTTCTATATGTTCATTACGTTGTTCATCAATTTAATTTTTTTTACATTTTTCACGACTGCAGTTCTTGCAATCTATATTTAAACTTTTACTTTTTTTTGTACCAATTATAGAAATTTCCATTTCTAAAAGAAAAAAAAGTTTTATGAAATACAATAAATTTTATATTTTTAAGCTATTAAATATCATAACTTTGCCTTACATATTGCAAAAAAAAAAATTTAAATTGCTTGACCTCATCAATCAAAACCTAATCTAATCCTTTTCCAGTCATTTATATTCTACAAATATTCTATAAAATTGTAACCAAGCTGTGTGTTTTATTTTCCAATCGATTATTATAATGAAATTATTAATACGATAATCTCTAATATAGAAATCTTAAGCTTCACTTAAACCTGGACCCGTTGGGCAATTATGAGGATATGTCTAATCTTCTTATTCATCTCTAACGAATTATTTGGTTAAAATAACAAACTTTTAAAGTTGAATTGAGTCAACCGTACCTTACTTAACCAAATTCTTTAAGAAAAAATATTTTTTAAATGAGTTAACACTTTATTTGAACTGAGCCTGGCGGCGACATAACCAACGTTTGACCATTCCCTCTATGCCTTTATTCTAGCAACTGCTGCAGAAATCTACAAAAATAATAGATATAGTTAAATTAAAACTACTCTATGTAATATTTTGGATAGATTTGGTTTTTATATAATATTATTTTTGGCAGAAATTACCATGATATGTGGCAGGCTCGGTCTATCTCTCAGACACTCTATCTCTCAGACAATCATTTTTTATCCACTGAACCTCTTAAAAGTAAGACAGGATTTCCTATCTCTAATAGTATTGTGTTCATTGAGAGTGTAGTAACACGTTTGGCCCGGTCATCAACCCACGATTCCATATATCCAAACGTATAGATTCATTGAACATATTAAAAATATATATAAAATAAAAACAAAAAAATTAAATGTATTTCATCATTTTATTCATATGAGTATAACGAATCTTCACATAAAATAAGTAATACGAAGAACGCCTTGAAAGATTTTTAATGAAAAATATTTGTATCAGGATAAGGATTTCAGTTCATATTCTTGTTGTTGTATTTGCTTTCCTTTCTTAAAGGCAAAAATTTTCCCAAACATATATCAAAAGTTAATTTTGCATAGACATACCTCCGTATTTGCGTTTTTGTGGAATCTCACTTAAAGTTTTTATTCTGACTGCACTACAAATGCATATCCGTGTGGGTTTACATACTTTGTTTTTCACTCCAAGCACAGTTATTACACTTATATATGTACGTATGTACATACATTTGTCTTGGCATTATCTATTTAACTTTTATGTACATAAGTACTTTTTCATACACACACTCGCATTTCTTGCAGCTCATTCACATAAAATATGAAAAATATGGAAAATGATGTGCCCTCGTGGCTTTTTCACACTTCCCTTCTCAGTTCATGTGCAGCACACTAAGTGTATTCATTGTGGCACTGTGCCTCATGGTAATAATATATGTACCATATATGTCTGTATATATGCTATATATAAATATGTAGTAGGATTTTCTCATATTCACACCAATGAACTTATGCAACTGTGAAATGAAACAATGTGCAGTGTGCATAAATGAAAATTGCAGTAAATCCAAGAATATTTTTTTATTATGTTTACAAAAATGCGAACAGTTAAGTAAATTTTATGAAATATACTCCAAATTTTAGGTATGTTAATATTTAACCAAAGAACTCTATTAAATTTTTCAGCTACACATATCGTCATATAACTCTAAGGATGAATTCATTTGATTCTAATTTGTTTAGAATGTATTATTATCTTCATGTGGGTCTGCAGCTCATCTATAGTCACATCATTTGATTTTGGTTCTTAGAGAATCTTAATGATTTAAAAAATCTTACAAAACAGTTTTGGCACCGAGGGGAAGAAAATTATCAGTTTCAAAGGATTGAATACAACAATAAACTGTAACATTCAATGTACCATTACGGAATACTTAAAAAAGAGGTATCTGGGTTTTTACGATAATAATATATTATAATATGAATTCTGGAAGATAGACACAAAAATAAAATTTTTATATGTAACTTATTAGGGAATAGAAGAAAATTATGACCGGACAAAAAGTGGCTAAATGGAGTAAGCAATTGGGATCGCAATTGGGATCGCAATTGGGATCACAATTACATGAAAAAGGCACAAAACAGACACGATTATAAAGAATTTAATGCATCTAATGTAGTAGTGTAGTAAGAATACAAAACTATATCTTCCAGACTGATCAACAGCAATGCCAGTCTTCCTTAATTTAGAATCCGAACTGGTATATAATTTGTGCTAGAATAATA